AATTGATAGAATTTTGCACTATATATCTTGTAATACTTAGTCTCTAGTCCTTTTTCTGTTTTATGAAATATTCATGAATTATATCACTATTGCGAGCCATCAACTCCATTTAGAATTTGCAGGCATACATAAGAATGTAAATGGCATACTTTATTTCCTTTTCTCTCTGACAAGCTATTATGAACATTCCTTTCTATACTGTAGATCCCTCTTTAGGAAGTTAGTGTCATTTTAGAGTTAGTTTAGGAAATAAATAAAAATGGATAAAAAGATTCTAAAGCTAGCAATGATATGGTGAAAATTATATGATTGATGAAGGGTGTTTAATCTACAGCTTAGAGTTCTTTAAAGACTACAAATAATTAAATGAAATGCAAATTGTGCTGAGATAGTCAGATAAGAAATTGGAATCATACTAATTAGACTACATTTTACCTAAATTCTGAGAGGTATTTTTAAAATTCTCTTTGCTACTATGTGATTGAACAGAATATTGTAGCATTGCTACACATTAATTTTATTTCTTTGGTTATAAGTTTATTAAGTTTAACTATGTTCATATTTGATATTTTCATGGCACATTGGCACATACATATTTTTGATATAAGAATATGTAATACTTTTATACTGTGATGAAGTATTCCATAGATGGAACATTGCTTCATTTCCTATAAATACTGGCAAATTCTTTCATTTAAAACACTTGTGGGAAAATATATTGAAGGCATTTGGTCATCAAGAGTAGTAATAATTACAAAGATTTAAGGTTGTCTAAAGAATGTACCTAAGGAAAAAATTATTTCTAGATATGTTTATCTTCATTAATATTCAATACATACATTCCCAAATTGCCTAGTCTCATTAATGTAAAATTAAAAAACATCAAAAGCAGTACCTTTAATTTGATAAATGATTGACTTATACAAACTGGCAGTGGACACTTTAATGCAATAGGTAGTTATACATGTTGGTAAACCTGAAAGTTCATCTTTCATAATTTAAAATATGATTTTAAAAATTATGCTTTAAACCAGCATCATAATTTTTAACTATGAAATGCCTTATCCTTTAGTTCTCCTTATTCATTTTATTTTCAAACTGGTACATTAAATTATTATCTTTGATAAATAAAATTGTGTTGCTTTAATCCAATGCACACGCATTGAGTTCTTCTGGTAAAGCATACACTGATCTTTATTTAGTATAATCACAAAAAAGCACTGATTTTTTTTTCTTTCCTGAAATAGTCATTAAAAAATTGTAATACCTTCAAAAATTTCTGCAATAAATTAACATTTTATTAACATTTTCATAGGTGCATATATAGTGTGAAGCTTCCTCTCAAATTTTTTCCTTTGTCCTGTGAAAAATGTCCCCATGAATACCTTTTGCTTGGCTGGGGATAAGAGGTATTGTTAGACTTGCTGTACGTTCTACCTCCCTGAAACAGTCTAGTTAGAAATGTTTTCACTACAACTTACCAAGAATATATTGTAACTTCATTAAAGTAGCTACTGAGAAGGGTCAGGGATTTAAGGCTAAATAAAAGAGAGAGGCACATGGGTACTATTTAAAAAATTTTCCCTGTAAGGGGAAAAAAAGTACTCCTTTAATTCATCTCGGGTTACTGAGAAGTTGGCACAGATAACTTCTTCTGTGTTGAAGGTTTAAATAGCTATCACAGCATTTCATAAATTTAAACTGGAATTGAAAAGCTTTTCTTGTCTCCAAAAGAAAAATAGTCGCATATTACTTACATAGTAATTACAGGCTACGCAGCTGCCCTAGAAAGCTTTACTATAAATGTGTTAAGCATGAACCACCACGCAACCTTATTCAAATTTCATTATGCATTAAGCCAAAGAAATGTCATCCTCCACACCAATTGCTCATACAAGAACAATGGCTATCTCCCTTGTCAGAAGCCTAAATAATGTAATAGAATCAATGTTGTTGATTTCATCTACAGTTGGCTAAAAGTCATAACTGTTATTCTTCACCAAGTAAAGAAGTGTCTTTCCCCCTTCATTATGCATAAGTGAAGCTTATGCTAATACACACACATTTTAGAATGAATAAGCTTCTTTGGAATATCATTTAAAGATTGGGAATAGAAAAAGTACATGGCTTCTATCGTGATAAAAATACTGACCTCAATTTTTATATGGCACTGATCCTTGCTCTAAGCCTTTCTAATGTAATGATTTAAAGCTTACCCAGCACTTCTACTTGTGTAGTGCTTTAAAAAATTCAGCTGGTCACACTGTACTGCAACAGAATAATGCCAGCAATAGAGGGATAAAGGCCAAAGCTATGAAAACATGTTAAAGAAAGTTAGCATAGGTGAGAGTTTTAAAAATTTAAACCTGGTCTTTAGAGATCCTGATAACAAACAATCTGAAAATTTAGCTTATATGTTGTTGTTTGATTTGTCTGTGTTTATCTGAACTTTCATTGTAATGAATTTAACAAGATTTGGAGAGAAGTGTAACAGCTAAAATTGTCAGGTGTAGGACAACGCCTATAATAAACATGGAGAAGTCAACTTAGTATGATTTATTTTACCTTCATTCGAAATACAGACATTTTAAAATGCAACAGGCTCTTATAAGTTTCTATGAACAAATCTGTCTTCCCAGATTAACAGCACTTTTCTATAGCTATCATGCAGCCCTAATTTTAGTACAAGGAGAACACTTCACCTCTGTGGCTTTCTTTCTAAAAACACATAAACCCAGCCCAATCAGGAAAGAACGCTGGGCAAATTCAAGTTTGGCACACATTCTGTAACTTACCTGATCAGTGTTCTCTACACGGATGTCAAAGTCATGAAAATAGAAACACTAAGAACCTGTCGCACATCAGAGGAGTCAAGAGAACCATGACAAGTAAATGCAATAATTTATGCTACCCAACTAAATACATTTCTGGGATTAAGTCTTACAGCACAAAGAGTGGAATATTAATGAAAAACTGCTGAAATTCAAATAATGTTTATGCTTTAATTATATATCAGCATGTTTTAATAGTTACAACAACTATTACAGAATCACATAAGATATTAGCAATAAGATAAACTAGGTTCTGAGAGTACAGAAACTGTCTGTACTAACGTTGCAATGTTCCTATAAACCCAAAATTAAAAGTTATTTTAGAATAGATAGTAATTGGCTCGATGTGGTGGAGCACACCTGCAATCCAGCATTAGGTGGGGCTGAGACAGGAGTACTGCCATGAGTTCAAGGCCAGCTGGAGCTACCTGGTGAGTTTAAAGGCAGTCTACGTAGCAAGACCTGGTTTCAAAAACCCCAAGGGGGAGGGCAGTAATCGTCTCTAGTAATCAAAAATTAACCACTGCCTACACCAGAGTAATTTTATTATATTTAATGAATCTATTAGTTTTCTGTTAACATTGAAAAGTCTATTATTACGCGCTCTTAAATTTAAAGAAACTTTTTGGCTATACATAAAGAATGGTAACAAGTCAGTTCTGTAAACCGCTTCCTTTTTACTCTGCTTTGCCATGAGAAAGTAGAAACCTCAAATTCACAAGCTTCTGACAGTGACATTGCTAGATGCTTGCTGTCAGAGGGCAGAAAACAAGCAGCAGTGACCAAAACAAAACAGAGTTGGCTTTCCCTGTTATAAAAAATTAACTGCATTAGTACTTCATTGCTACAAAGAACAAGTCATCTGACTACTTAAAACGTTCGCTCCATTTGAAAATAGGCTGCTGATGAATTTAGAAGCTACACTGGAGTAGCACAGACGTAGGGATATGCAAAATTCAGACTTTGAAGTGAATGTAAAAATTCAGTATAATATCTAAAGTGGTGTCAGTGAAAACATCAAGAGGCATACAGCTGCTTCTGTGGAAATACGCTTAATATCTATTGGTTGAGTAAAACCTAGTTTCTTAGGAGGAAAAAACATAAAAATGTAAGATGCAGTATTTTGTGTAGGTAACATGTGTAGTAGGAGTGATGGCTGCAGTTTCAGTGAGCAGACATAAAGAAAGGCAAAAACAAATATAAGACAGAGATTTTTTTCCTTGGATAGTGGAAAAAAGTCACTTGAATGATTTATTTGTGCACAAAGGATAAGGGCTTAGTGGGAAAATGGTAGGAAAGAAAAAATTTAACCTTGTTTGTATAAAATATGCTAAACAGTTTTTGATTCTGTAGATAAATGAGAGAGAGAGTTCTATGGTTTGGGCAGAGAAGGAGAGGAAGGAGAGGAAGGAGATGAAGACTGTGTCTGCAGCTAGGACAGGACACAGTGACAGGAGGTTCCCGAGCACAGACTCCTGTGGAGGCAGTGATGCCCCTGACTCACTCTGCTCCCCTGCTGTTGCTTCTCCTTACTCCAGGGCCTGCAGTCAGCCATGCTGAGCAGCCTCTTGGGAGAGAGGTGATTTGGGCGTAGAAAGAAGGCAGATGGCATCAAGTGTAGAAGAAAAACCATGGAAACTGGGCAGGTGCTAAGGGAGGCAAGTGGGATTGATGGGCAACAGTTTAGCAGAAAGAGAATGGTACATTTACAGGGGACACGAGAAGGATAGCTCCTCCACCATTCTTGGTACTGGGGGTTAACAGATGCAGTGAATGATGGGCATTAATGAGGATGTTCACTGAAAGAGTGATGTCAAAAGCCTCAGTGACTGTAAAACGCAAATAGCAGCTATCTGGCTTGTATATATAAAAATTACATGTATGAAGCTGAAGGTGATGGCACACAGCAACAATCCTAGCACTAGGGGAGACTGAGGCAGAAGGATCTCAAGTCCCAGGCTGAGCAACTTTGTGACCTAGTAAAATTCTATCTCAAAATAAAGCAAAACAAAACAAAACAAAAAAGGAATGAGGGTATAGGTTCCTGCAGAAGCCCCGGTACCATGAAAAAAAATACAAACTACAAAGTGTCTGATAGGTAGAATTTTGCATATATTTTTCTTTGCTAATCAATCATTGGTCATTTAATGGTCCACACGATGGTCTTACCTTCCACGTGGCAGATCTGCATCATCTTTTTTCCACCGCACGGTTGGTTGAGGATCTCCCTGCACCTGACAGCGAAATTCTATAGCTTCTTCCTCCAGCACCACCTGGTTAATTGGCCTCCTGAGAAATGTTGGTCGTTCTGGGAAAAAACAAAAAAGAAACAGTAAAATGAGCTGAATGTTTATGCTTTAAATAAAGTATGCAAAAAGTAAAGGAAGTGTTATTTAATTTTCATACATAAATTCATAATTCTACCTGAGCCATATCTGACAAGGTCTTATGTATACAATATAATTGAATAAAATTAAGTATTCTTGAAACAGGAGTGACTACAGTTTGTATATAAGACCATAAACCTTACAGAAAATTTGTAAACTTCTGTCAGTGAATTCCTGAGCCAAATCAGGTGGATACTATCATAAAAAAAATCAGAACACTGAATTTCACAGAAATAAGGATTGTACTATTTTCTTTTAAAAAAGAATTAAAAACAAAAAAATAAATAAAATAAAAATAATTAATGTATTTCCATGTCTCTGAGTGGTAAAAATTAAAAGTTGAAAAAAACTAAACATTAAAAAGAAAGTAAATATTAACATTTTATTAATAGAAAAAAATTGTATTCTTCATGTTATCTAAAATTTCCTACTAAAGTTATTATTTAACAAGGATCCAGTATGTCCATTTTTTTTCACCTCATGTATCTAGAGTTGTTTTATTTAAGACAAATAATTTCATTATCATGGCAAACATTTTACTTTCAGACATAATTTTAAAGATCTCCTATGTGTTTGAGATGCTCACTTATTTTTCCTTTATTGACTATGTTTTCCTCACTATTGGTTTAGTAATCCTGCACTTCATTGTTTTGTTAATCTTACCTAACCAGGTAAATTGTGTCAACTCCCTAAGGATCTTAATACAATATTAAATTGTATTCTAACACCCTTCTAAACAAAACAAGGTGAAAACAAATTCCTAATCACAAGACTCTTAGCATCTAAGAAAGCTATAAAACAAAAGTACTTGCTTGTTTCCCTACATGATCCTATTCTTCAGTTTCTTCCTTTTTTTCAGATAATGGTCTGACATTGGAAAATTTATCATTTCAAATTTATTAGCACACGTCTCCAAATCATAGCAAGGCCAGTATTGCTAGTTATTCAAGTAGAAAGAGCACTAAGTCAAGGAAAAGGAAGATGAGATCCATGGGGAGTTGACACAATTTATCTGGCCATCTGGCTATATTTAACTACTCAGGACTTTAGTTTCAAATGTTCTAGTTTAGAATTATAAGTGCAATGGCACACAGCTTGAAACATATTCAGCAAGAAATCGTTGAAAAAAATAAAATACTTAAAGCAACGTGTTAAAAGACTGGGTTTACATGGTTGTTCTAACTGAAATCAAGATCCACATCTAAGAAATAAGTACATTGCAAGGGAAATATTGTTGGTAGAAAGTCAAGCATCATTGGCATTTAGAAAGGAGACAACTGAATCTCTGCAGTGAGAATTACACAGTAAAGTTCAAACCTTTCTTCAAAACTGAGGTCGGCGCACATTCTGTATCTGCATTCAGAGTGTCCAAAACTCCAAGCCATGCACAGAACAAGGCAATGGCACTTTATAATGGAAAGTTATTTTTTAAGTGAAGAATTTACAAACAATCCACAAAAGCTAGAGAAAGGCATTGTTGCTTCTAAAGATTTATGTAACCAGAACTGATTAGCAGCAAAATATCTCACCTAAACTACAAAACAAATGTACATATGTGATGAGATGATTTACAATTATCCTTCTGAACTCTGGAAACTGTGTTCCAAAAACAACTACTGTAAAAATAACATGTCTGATACTGAGTTATTGTTTCTGGCAGTAGGAAGACAATAACATTATTATATCCTTATGGGTGTTCCGATTGTTAATATACCAGATGTGATAAAAATATGGTAAATGCTTAAAGTCGTAAAAATTATTACAGTAAAAAAAGTTGGCATTCGCCTCCCTCAAAACAATCCTCATCATTTCAGATATACCTATCCCATCCTTCTTGTCACAATTGGGACAGTTCTGGACATCCTCTTTCCTGTCTTTCATTACGCTGTCATGGCTCAGTACCTTGAATGGACTCAAAATATTTACTTTCATCCACTCGGAGAAAAAGCCGGAAATCGCACAGCATCAGCTTTAGTGAAGAAGGAAGGTAAAGGACAACATGCTGTAATGTGTGCACGAGTTTGCCTTTCTGTTGGGTGACATGTGTTTACTGCATTTGCGATCCTAACTCAAAAAACTTTGAGAACTGCTTCAGAAACTGGTAAGAAAGATAGGATAAATGTTCAAAACAGGGCGAATATTTTTAGAGAAATTTATGGCAAGGTGTCTTTTACTGTAATTTTTAAATAAATTTAAACATTCACCATGCATGTTGACCAATGCTTGCAGTACAAATAAGTCATTAGCATAGGCAGTGCTATCAGTTGTGGCTATTCATCCATTTCATCTAAATACCCGTATTAGTGCACTGTTTAAAACACTAAGACCAGTGGGCAGAGTGGTGTACATCTGTGATCCTAGCACTTAGGAGGCTAAGGCAGGTGTATCTGAAATTCAAGATCATCTGGGGCAACTTAAGAAGACCTTGCATTAAAATAAAAAATAAAAATAAAAAATGTTGATATGTAGCTCATGGTAGAATGGCTCAAAGGCTAAATCGCTACTGATGTCACTTTGAGATCAAAAACAATTTATCATAATGTTAACAGGAATATTGTACTATAACCTTACATGTAGGTGACCAAGCTAGAGAAGTCTTTCCTCATCCACATAGGCATTCAGAGTATTTAATATAAGCCTCTGCTATGCCAGGCTCTAGGCTTGGTTGGTGATAAACTACTAGCATCTCAGTGACATTCAGTAATGATGGGAGATGAAACCAGGCAGGCAGAGAAAAGCAAGACCAGGGCTGGTAAGGAATGGGACCTCTGCCCTTGGGGTGATTAAGAGCTGTGGATGAATCTTAAGCAAGAGGGTAAACTTGTTAATAAGCACATGAGCAAGATCATGTTGGTGGATCTATGAAGGCTGAAATAGAAGAGAAATACGAAGCAACAGATTAGGTCAAAGAGTTTTGTAAGAACCTGTTTCATCTTAAACTCACACTCTGATTCTGGGGATACAGAAAAGGTGTGGAATCAAGAGATTCAAAACTGGGTGATCAATCAGATATAAAGGGAGTAAAAGAAAAGTTCTGAATGATTTTCAACTTTCCACTTAATATACCTGAACATATTGATAGGTTCAAATGATGGTGTGTGGTGTGTTTACAGAAAATGCTTAAATTGTGAAAAATTAATTTCTGCTTATTTAACCTCATTTTTCATCACATTTGCCTTCTTTGAAGTCAAATTAATTGTGACTTAGTAAGATGAAGGTCAATATTTATCCTTATTTAACAGAAAGGGGAGACTAAAATAATGTCTGTAGATATAGCTTTTTGATTAAAAAAAACCTAAAGAAAAAATCAAAAGAGAGTTCTTAAAGGTGGTGAAGAATTTTTGTCAGAAATTAAATGCCAACATTATTTTAAAAAGTAAGATGCTCAAGTCATGCTCACTGAAGTCAGTAGTAAGAGGAACATGATAACATTAGTAATCAGTAAGAAAAGGAAATTGTGAATATTGAAAGAGAACCAAGATAAACATTATTTGTAAATGCTTCAGTACAAAACAATATAGAAAATACCTTTGATAATTGATAAACACAACAAAAATAAGAAACATATCACATTATAGCAATGCTGATAAAATTGGAAAGCAAAAGATTTTAAGATAAAATCCTAAAATACACTGAAAATCTATTCAGTCATCAGAATAGGAAAGCTATCATTTTAGTAGGGAATATTTTTATGGCACGATGCTGAATATAAAATAAATCCCCAAAATTAAAGTAAAACACAAAGACAATGCACAAGTCTAGTTCTATTAAAATACACACACACACACACACACACACGCACACACACACACACATTTTCAGGCAAAGTTTCTGTGTGTTTCTTTGAATAAGTACCAGTAACAATATTGTAACACATAATTAAAGAGCAAAATTTGTATTAGGCATGTAATTATAGAAAAATTTTTGTAAGGATTGTTTGCCATTTTCCTCAACTGGGTTTAATTTCCAGGAAATCTAAGAACTAGAAACACTAATATTAAAGACTAAGGAAGTTACAACTGGAAAACACATATTTTAAATGTTCTGCCTTGGCAGTGGCTATTGTTATCATAGCACAAATCAAAGCTAAGACCTTTTCAGACATAATTATGGAAACTACAAGGAAGTCTCTTGAGATTCCTTTCTTGTATCTAAAGTTGCAAGGGTTAGAAAGTAAGTTGATAATAGAACAATCTGTTAAATTGATAAGTGATCACCCTCAGTATTCGTTAATTTTCATAGATTGTCTCCATGAAGCTCTACTTAATTAAATGTGTATGAAAATCATGAACTATTGAGCAACAAACAAATTTAATTTTAAAGCATGTCAAAATAAGGTCACTGAATTTTCTATGGGATCACCTTATATCTGACCACATATTTTAAAACAGAGGGAGAAATCTCGAGGGCTGTTCGCTGACTGCTTATCAATGAGATTAAAGTCCCTTGGAATGCCTGATCCCTAACAATATAACTGTGAATGATCGGCATCAATGCCTTTGCCAATGTAATTAGCATTTTTTTCTGTAAGATTAACTGGATTTGAATCACCTGCATAACTTGCTTACAAAGTTAATCTCTCTTGAGACAATAGTATTGTTTGCCAGTGTATTGCTCTGTAAAATATAGCTCTCTAGCCGTCCTGTCAATTCAGTCACAAACTGGCATTCTGGAAACTCCAACTTTATACATGGCTATAATAATTTAAAATGCAAAGTCTCATTTAAATTATGACAAAAATATTCACAAAGCAAAATATTCAACTTCACATAAAATACCGTAAGTCTGAAATGAGATTGCATATCTCTTGAGGTTCTTTTTATATACTACAATGAAGGAAATCAAGGATTCAGTTAACTAATTTTTCTTTACAACTACATGCAGTCACTGAAAATGGTTATAAAATTGCCAGTGGCTGTGCCATGCAGCTATTTCTTGGATGGAATCAGTAATTTTAAAATAACCTTTGCTTGACTTTGTAAAAGTAGTGTTGTGGCAATAATTACACAGGTAGACTCAAGTCCTGTAATAGCAAAGCTATGCAATAAAAGGACATCAGAGCTAACCACTGCTTGTAAACCTTGTCATGACGTCAACTGCCCCAATTAACTCTGCCACATTCCTGATTCTATGAAGTGGGGAAGCCAGACAGCTGGCCTGATAGATCTCCTGTTATTTAACGCCACATGCAGGAGGGCAAGGTGGTCTGGAGGCTACTGAATGTGATTATTGTGTTCTTCAAAATAATAGACAAGATAACTGCATTCAGGCCATCTAGATATATTTAAATAAATCCTGACAGTGCTAACTTCTTCTTCAGAAGAATTGTATTTATCTGGGTGTGATCACCCCAGGAAGCAAATACTAACAGATATAAATGTTCTTAGAGGAAAAGTAGTGCCTTTCAACACATTTTAGAGGCGAAATTTCATGTTATTGCTGATAACTCCATATGAGAACCCACTGGACAGCAGGGGCCCTGACTAGGAATTCCATTACATCCTACATTTAAGAATTTAAACAAGGGTTAGCCCATAGTAGGTGTCCAAGAAATATACTCAAAAAGAACTACACTTCTAACAAACACCTTGATATTACAAGAACATCTTATATTTTGAATTCTTACATGAAAACCACAGGATATACTTAAGATATAGATATTTCCTGAGGTTTGGCTTGAGGTACCTTCTCTTACAGTTTCAGCTGTGTGTCTCTCAGCTCCTCTCCACTCATCATTGCAGTTATCTCTCATCCAGTTACTGAAAGCCAGCAATCAGCATCATCAGCCCCAATCTCTGTCCCACCCTCACTGAGCTGGCTACTTCCTGATCTGGACCTCCTGCACTGAAATCCACTGGGTAGCACAGTCTTAATAATCTTTTCCATGAGCAGCAATTAAATATGAATGAACAACAATACATCGCTATTTACAGAAGTCTTTCAGTGTAAAAAAACAGCAATTCAGGCAGGGGAGTGCAGGCAGAAAGCAACTAGGGAAATGCAGGAAGGGGTACAACACAAAAGTTAATTTAAAAATTGTTTTCAAAGTGTCAGAAAAGATATAAATATATGAAACAAGAAAAGGATGCTATCCATAGGAAAAATCAGAGAACAGAAAGACGTAGAAGGTTTAACATTTAATTAGTAACTATACATTTGACAGAGAAATGGAATAGAAGAATAGTGAGAAACTTCATTGAGTTGTTTTAGTTATTCCTTTTCAGACTGATTGAGATTGTTCTCCTTGAGTATATACAGGGAAAGAAAAGAGTATCAAACCAAAATCTTTCAGAAAATTGGAGCAAACAGAGTACTAAAAGTTTGGAAAGAGGAAAAAAAATTCATATTACATACAAAGATATAGAACTACACTAATCAGAATCACAGCAGACTTCTCAAAAGCAACTGAAGATAAATGATGTTGAAAGAGTAATTTCAATATTTTGAGCAAGTTTATTTTTATACTACAATTTTACAATTTAAGATTGAGTTAGAATAAAGACAATTTGGTTTGGAATTTGCTCCAAGTTTCAGTCAAAAGCAAGACAGAAACACTTCTGAATAAAGGGAATAAAAAATCAAATCAGGACGCAGGAAGTGGGGATCAAGCCTAGAAAAGAAGAAAGAAAAAAGTCAAGATGAAGTTTCTAGAGCAGATCTAACATACATCCCCACTAGATCCAGCAGTAAGTCTGAGAGCTCTGGAAAGTCAGCATGCAGAGGGGTATTAAGTCACTAAGTGAAACATGGAATTCAGAAGAATTTTAAGAATTTATAACAGGTGTGGCAAAACATAGGTATATGGAAAATGGGTTATTATGAATGCACAGAACAAATTCAGTAGCTGAATAGAACTACAATTATAATAGTATAAAACAGTGCATGATTGATAATATTTATAGTTACAACATTTTACTAAATATTAATAAAATACCCAGTGTTTGTAAGGTGAGTTTACTAGAAATAGTATGGGTAGGAGAAGAGAGTAACCTCAAAATAAGAAGGTGGAAAAGGAGATATAAGTGAACCAAATAATTATATTCTGAAATATAAAGTAAAACAAAATATACAATAATACATCTATAAATAAAATAATAAGCACATATGTAGAAATACAGAAATAAATACTAGAAGTGAAGAATAAAAACAGACTTTTAAATATGTTCACTGATGAGGTATGTGTGTGTGTGTGTGTGTGTGTGTGTGTGTTGGAAAACTGGTGCATATCTTTGTATTTTGTTATGCTTTATAACACTAATGATGTACATTAGAGTTTGTATACATAAAATCTGACTTTCTGTATTACTTTATTAAACACTTAAAATGATTAGAAAATATATACATATTTTTGATTATTTAAAAATCACTCAGATTATGCATAGTAAACATTTGAAATTAAACCATATTTAAAAATTTAATGACATCCATGGGCATGGTGGTGCACACCTGTAATCCAAGCACTCAGAAGGCTGAGGCAGGAGGATTGTTGCAAGTTCGAGGCCAGCCTGGTCTACAAAGCGAGTTTAGTACTAGCCTGAACTGCATACTGAGACCCTGTCTCAAAAAGACAAAAACAAAAAAATTAATGGTGTTCAGAACTTCAACGCCAGTTTCACTGACTTTCGGATCTTTGGGACTTAACATATATAAACTGCAAGGATGTGTTCTTTATGAATTTATGTACTGTGCCATATATTTTACTATCATTTAAACTATGATAATATGTTTTAATTTTTATATTTGATAGTAGCCACTTTATAAGAATGATCATGGACAGAAACTATTGCAGAATCACCAGGAAAGTATGTAATTCATGGAGTATGATGCAGGAACTTTTTGAAAATTAGTTCATATAAATCATGTCTCATCAAAAGAGAAGAGTTTAACAATCTAAGTGAAAACTTCAAACTAGAATACTTCTAAGTCCAAACATATTTAATAAAGACACAGAATATTTGAAGAAAGGAGAAAGTTTATTCAAGCAGTGCATCTCAGAACGCAGATCATTATGGTATAAGAAAAATAACATTTATTCCTTTCTATGTCCTTTCGAGTTTTAAACCAATCACATTTTTTGGAGGAACTCAATATCATCAGTTGCTCTTTATGTATAATATATGTTAATGATTGAGTTGCAAAGAACATTCAAAGCCCTCTAGTGCAAAAATAGAAGTAATGTGGAGGCAGTGTGAAATGAAATCAGGTTTATAAACATTAGATAAGAAGTGATAATATTTAACAGTGGTGAAACATAAAGAGGTTTATTAGAAACATATCCTGGAGGTAAAAGCACCAAAATCAAACAAAAAAGGCTTCACCTTGAAGAGTAGACTGTTTATGCTATATTTTCTAATAATAGGAAGTCAGGGAAGGAAGGATTTCCCACACAATTTGTCATTTTATTTGGGCTATCTCTTCTATATTTCTATTTTTCTTCTGAGTTTCGATGTTGTTTTCTTATCAATAATGGAATTTTAGTTTTTCTCTTAATTTAATATTTTCTCTCAACTTGTAACACTGTAGGTCAGTTCTGAATAGTTTATACCAATAAATGTTTCTCAGCTTCCTAAATCAGTTCTTCCAGAGGAATTGCCTCTAGACAAATTCAGTCTCTTAGGTTGATAGTTATGGTCAAAATAATTTAGAAGTTGCCCTATAACTCGACGTGTTTAGGGGTCTCCGGCAGTTCTAATCATGTCTTTAGGGAAAGCAGGGTAAATATTTCATACTCCAGACACATTATTGGTAAGTCTAATTGCTTGGGTAATGACTTAAAACCTTTCAGTTTCCTTCCAAAAGCAGTGCAGTGCAGTGTTTTTATAATCCACAGCTTGTGTCAGTTAAAGAAAAATATCAATGAGTGTTTCCTTAAATAGACAACCTATACCTGCGGGCTTTCATTGCTAATGTTCAGTGACCACTACTTTCCTATCTTACCTGGCAAAACTGTATTTTATTCATTAGAGGGTAGAGTACTTTGTGAGTCTCTTAAGAGATAACCGCATAAAATTTAGGGGCAAGCTGATACTTGTCTGAGCTCTCCAGGACAAAAATTTACATGCATACTTTGAACAATTTTATTTTTACAATTCAATTCTTTTAACGAATTATGGGATTTCTCCTAGTTTTGTCATTTGGGACTTCAAGCTGCTTAGTATCCACAGGGAGTATTATGAGAGATTACACAGTACTCAGAGTGATTGAAAAGAGAAGCCTACACTCTGGTACATATTCATAAAGTGCAACCTTAGCTTTGGAAATGAAATGGAAATCACAATATGCCTCCTTCCTTGAAAGCACTTGCATGGGCTCCTCCTAAACTGTAAAAGAAGTCTCTTTAGGGACCTGTGCAGGACTTTGTGGCTATACTTGTGCATGTCCTGGAGTAATGATCAGAAACAGGATGGCATGCATAGAATGAGGGCATAGAAAAGCCCCTTAAAAGTCACAATCCTTTCTTGGAACTTGAAGTAATTACATAATATCTGCCACAGTGAAATCTACTAACCTACGATGACATACACAAGTATCTATGCGTGTGTCTGTGCATAGATAAATATGATAAATAGATCCAAGTGGAACAAGGAATACACATGAGATGGAGATAATATTTGAAACAGATTTTGAGAGCAGCAATTTTTTACATTTTGATGAAAAGTGAAATACTTTTAACTAGAACAATAAAGTTAGTGAACTAATGTTTTGTATTTTTTTCTTGACATCAATTTTTCATCAGACAAACTAACAGCACACACACACAAAATCTAGACAATTCTAATTGGTTATTGATGATCACAAGTAATGAACAATTGTTCATATACAGTCTGAAGATAGTGTTAAAAATATCTTAAAACACAGGAAGGGTGGACCATAAATAGCAATTATAACAACTTATAATTCCAAAGAGAGTTTTACCGAAGACAGTCAGCTCTGCCGGGTCGCTGTCTCTTTCTCCCACCATATTGGTGCCTACACAGGTATACATTCCTGCATCACTCTTTCTTGTATTGGAGATCATCAGTTTCCCACCACGAATCTGTTAAAATTAAACAAAAAGTAAAGAGAAAGGAAGATACAGGAAAGAGAATAAAAAGCCATTAAATAATTTGAATCTTAAACATATTTTCTTTCCAAAAGAAAGCAGCTGTATCTAAGACTCAAATCACTTTTACTACTTAGGCAACTGCAAGTGTGATTTATTTTACACCTACAACCTCAATATGAGTCTGCATATTAGGGAATGATTCTTTACAATAGTCCTTATTTCTCTTGCCAGGTCACATTTTGAATCATACGACAGTCTTGACTAAATTCCAAGTGTTTGTCTTCATGCTGAGATGCTGTTGAATGAATTGCTATTTTCATTTGTTATAACAAATATGATGACAGTCATTTACATTGGATAGTATAGTAGAAACCATGTGAAATGGATTCACCAACTATTTATCGAGCATTTATAAGGGCAAGATAGTATGTCAGGCATTTAGGGTATGGTAGCAAGCTAAATAGTGAAAATCTATGCCTTTGTAAGCCTTACATTTTGATTGCTAGTTTAATTATCTTTGTTTTATCTCAACTGTAATTAAGAAATAATTTTTTTTTAAGGAAGACAGGTTGGATAAAAACAAATGAAATTATAAAATCTACTCATTCTGATTAGGGGCACCAGTATAAATTGATGTAAGTCATAGCCATGAATAAGTGTTATCTAAATAAATATATCTTAAATGAGAAACATTTGTTGAGTGAATGAATAAAGGTAATAGTATAAAAATGTCTGGTAAAGGGAGTATTAAATCAGAATTAGTTTTAGGTGAATGAATAACGACTCATTAGTTTTTAATCATTGGTTAATCATGATGACTCATTAGTTTTTAATCATTAGTTGTCATTAGATTTTTAATTTAATCTAATGTAACATCCTTAACTTTACATGATTGAGCATTCTTACAGACATATGAGACGATAACATATTAGTTCATCAATTTTTTAATTTCATAGGTAAACAAATCTCATGTAGATTTGTTCTTATCAAAGATAGATAAAAACTGTAGTTCTGAAATTTGCCATGAAATAGAAAAAGATTTTCAGTATTTTTTTACATGAGAAGAAAGACCATCAGTACATCCTCATTTATATCCAGTATGTTATAATGGTAATTTCATAAAAATGATCATAGAGTTCATTTCTCCTCCCTTGAAACTGAGTTTGACAATATGACTTGACTGAGTAAATGTTTCACCTGAAAATAAAAAGGTGTTTTGACATGTGGATTTGCCTTTTTGTGTTGCAGCTGGACCCTGAGAGCATGGGGCCAGCCTGAGCTACCCTACTGAAAAGTTAGAAATGATGGATAGAAAGACTGAGGTATCTACCTGACAGTCAGCTCCTTTCCAGATGCAAGTAAGGTCATGCTAGATTATTCAAATGCTAATATATATTTAAACAAGCTGTGGAGGATGAAAAAGTCTAGCAGAGATCAAACATCTGATCAAGAAAGAACTATCAGCTTTCCTATAGAATAAGGGTCTTGAATAAATTATTAGCGTAAACCATTTAAATTTGGGGATGTTTATTACAGAGAAAATATCGAATAACACATTTTCAAAAGTTTGATACCCTAGCCTGAACCATTCAGAATCAAATTAACTTTGGGAATGTAGGTCGCCATAATGTTAACAGTAAAAGCCAAAAGAGATGAATATATGTTGTGATCTCTTAGAACTATGAGTTCTGTGTTATACTTTAATCTCAATGTGAAGATACGGTGAATCATCATTTATAAAAACATATTTTCAAACATAAGACTCAAATTATATGAACTTTTGATTGAAATAGCACAGCACATTTGCTCAGTGAAATAAGAAATTACTTGACATAAAATACATTCACTTTCAATTACTATTTGACTCTAAAATTTTACTACCAAATTTCAGAAGATATATTCTACTTCAATGGGTAGGTTCTTACATATAAATTTCACATACAAACATTAAATGGATCTGCTAAAAAATAAAAGGATTATACTCTACTCCTTATTTTCAATCTTAAATCAACTGATGAGCTTGATCTTATACTTTATTTGAAGGAAAAATATTTTCCCCTTTGAACTAAATTGCAGAATCAGTTTTATTGATATTTTACTTAATTATTTTAAATTTACTTTAAAATTGATTTATGCATAAATCTGTGATCTTATAAATATTATTTAATTGCAACAACTAGAATGAGTGAGATGTTCATCACCTCAAATTATTTCCTCTTATAATTTTGAAAATGGTGCAAAATGAGAAGTAGATAATATGGCTCATGGGGGCTGGGGATTTAGCTCAGTGGCACAGCGCCTGCCTGGCAAGCTTAAGGTCGTGAGTTCGATTCCTGATGCCAGAAAAAAACCAAAATCAAAAACAAAACAAAAAAAAAAAGTATGGCTCGTGGATATCATTTACGCTTAAACAGTAGTAAAGATGGCTTTGGAGACTTCAAAAAAAAGCAGAAGCATCAATGTCATACTGCAAAGGTGTATTTACCTATTCGAGTGGTACAATTATCAGCATATCACCTACACCTGATTTGTATAACTTGTCTTTGAAGCCTCATGCCAGTTTTATTTGTTTTTAATTTTATGAGGAAAAAAGTAAAACAAAATTTCATAGGAAAATAATAATAGTTAATACATTAAATATTGTTACCTTTAAAGTAGTTACTCAGAGATGATTTTTTAAAGTCCTTTCAAAATCCTTTAAATAGTAAACCCCATTAAATACCATTTTACTAACAATAAATTACAGAATAAAATATATTCGTATCTAGACATGGAATTCACACTTCCTATGTTAAACTTCAGTGCGGTTTAACTCACACTTATTCTCTCCTCCTTGTCGTCAATTCGGACTTTGTCCTTTTTCCAGTAGATGGTGGGCTCGGGGTGGCCCCGTGGGGGTTGGCACTCCAAGATCGCAGGCTCCCCAGCGGCCACTACCACGTCGGTGGGGTTTTGCCGGAAGTCATCTCGCAACACTGAAGAAAAATGATGACAATAACAGAAAACTGAATTTCAGTAACTTCAGTGTTTTCTTGCCAAGGGTAACTTCAAGTTTTACTTGTGCTAGTCAAACATTGCTTGAATATTTACTGAGGCCCTAGCCAGGCACATCTTAAAGTATTTTAGAACCAGAATCTATGTTTAATAACAGGAGAATGGATGACTCCATGATCATGTACTTTTGCTCAAAATTCCAATTTTAATACTGAGTCTGGGGATAAATAGACAATAAATATTTATGGTATAGTTTGGGATTTAATTAAAAATAAGGCACAGAATGATTTATGTACTATTAGTATTATCTATAAAGGAAAGACACACATACAGTTATGTACAAAAATACATTCAAGTAAATGTTAAAGCTATACTGAAACCCGAAGCAAGACATGTACAGAGGTGTGTGTGTATCTGTTCGTTCCGGTCCCTGAGGGAATAGAAGTGAGAACTCCCTGAGAAGAGCCTTCCTCATGATGCGAACATGGACAGGCACCACACTGCTTTCATTACCCTTCAGAAGACAAACTCATTGTTCACCCTTGCAACGCACTAGCACCCACATACACAGGCTGTATTCTCATTCTGTATGTTTCTCCACCTGCCGGGTGACATCTGGGCAGCGTGACATTCAGAGCAGAGATATCCCTTATAGCACTTTTGCCAGTCTGAATTTCCCCTCCTTTCATTAAGGAGAACAGCAGGTTGGACCTCCGTGGTAACCTCCTAAAATCTGGCACGCCTAGCTCTCCAAATGTCACCTATCTATCAGCGTTGGTTTTTCTGCTGCTGGGAAGCAGAAAAGCCTGGAGAAGCAACTTGGCCCCATCAGACTGTTGGATTATTTAGCAAATAACAGCTCTGACTATTTTAAGATGAATATTCAAAGAAGTAGAGACCAGGTAATGTACCATATCTTCCAGCTATCTCCGCTATCTTGTGCTGCCTTCACTTTTCCTATTATTTGACATTCCTACAAAAGAGAACTACATATAGAATAAAACAAACCTGTATGTACCTGTGTATGTGCACACATGGAATATTATCCATAAACATACTCGTAAGCACATGCATACAGTGTGTGTGTATACCTATGTGGTTTGTGCCGATGCGTGCACATATGTGTATTAGTGTGTGTATATATACATGTATGTGCAGGCTGAACTCAGCATTAGACAGCTTGTGCTTCCGTGTTATGTAAATTATCTCATGCAAGTGGGGATTAGGTCAAACCAACTGCCTTTCCTGTCCTGTAATGAGACCCACTTCAGCAGTTTCTTTGTTGTGAAAAGTCTCTAGGTTAATTGTCCTTCTCCAAATAAATAAAAATCTCTACCCTAAAGATAGCTTTAGAGATTCAGCAGAGTGGATTTTAGGGCTTTCTTTTCTTTTCTCTTCCAACACATCTTTTAACATGGTTTTCCATCTTAATGAAGTCATGGCCCTTTGTCAGATTAGACAACCTTGTTTCTTACTGAAGAAGTAAAAACATTCAGCACAAACTGTTCACTCCCAGCTTATAAACTGATTAACTGACTGCTTTTGGTGCTAAGAAAATGTGTTCCACTTTAGCACTGTGAACTTCATATTTTTGGTCCCCTTGTGTAACTGGCAAGAAAGGTGTGATTTATATGCCTGCGGATTTGCTTCTGAGTTGGCTTAGAGAAGGAAGCATTTCAGTGTGACACTCATGCAACTGATCAGAAGGGGTTAACACTGTTGTTCCCTTTTGCAGTTATATTCTCCAGGGAGAGCAAGCTGGTGACTCATTTATATTCTAAATACAGAACAGCTGCCTGTTTATGCAACGTTAAGAAGTGCAAAAATATGGTAACAGGGTGATGAACCCCCCTACAATATCCGGTACTGGCAACAAATGGTGTTTTGGCACACCTTCAATCTGCTCCAAAATGGCACATCTGGCAAGTTGAAGGGCCGTGTCCAGACCTGGTCTCCTAACAAATGGCATGCCAAAAACCCTTAGCTCAACTGGTACTTAAGACCATTGCAAATCATTCAGAGATGAACTGTTACATTGATTTGGAACGATCCAAATTAAAAGGGAAAGAAAGGACCTTAACAGGAGGAACAAAAAGATGAAAAATATCATAACAAACTCTAAGGACCACTAACCTCAAACAATATAACATGTGTTTATGCATTCACTAAAGGGAAAATGACTCCAATTTGTATGTGGAGCCAAGAAATCTAACATCAACCATAATTTTAGGCTTTCAAACTATTCACCCAAAGAGCAGGGTGAGATAATGGTATAATTGTACTGTACCCTCTGCAACTTGTAATATGCTCTTTAGGGTCTATGTATAACTCAGATCATTCATTTGTGCTTAGTGACCATTTCATTTACTCTAAGCCCTGGGGTAAAATATGTTCCTTCTCTGCTCAAATTAGAACTTTCAGGAGAAGTACATGACAGAATATTACTTCTGAGCTTAGATTGCAAAACACTGTGACTTCCATTTTCATTAGAGCTGTCTCTCTCTGCTCGAGTACTTCGTCTGGCATCTTGCAAGAGGCCATATTGCCTGATGGAGAAACTCTGAGCTACAGACTTGCAAGAGCTTCCAGCCTACACCAGCAACAAACTGAGGTCACCATTCCAACAGCTCCACAGGACCAAACTGCCACGGAGTCTTGTGACAATTTGTATAAAGATGCAATTTTTAGACCTTAAGGCTTTGTTTCTTGTTTCTTCCAAACTCCACATTCTTTTGCCCCCAACCCTCTCCCTTCTGTCCTAAATCACTAGTTTTCTAGGATTTTATGTTCAGTTGGAGCTAATCTTTAGTCAGAAGTTCCCATTTTATTTTATTAAAATAAATCAGCAATAAAGAATGAGGTGAGCCGCATGAGAAATAGGCTTCTGAAAGATACAACAGTGATTTCAGAAATTTCTGAACCATGGTGTACAAGGCATCCTAGTGATGTTATTAAAAATGTAAAGGGAAAACACATTATTGATAAAAGTATTCATGCACACCATTGCATAAAGAAAACCATCCTAACCAAACTAAATTGGCTGTGAGAAAGGTAATCTAAAAACAAATTATAATGACAAGCATGACTAGCAGCAGTTGAAAACCAAAAGTAACTAAGAGAACACTGAGCACAAGGCTCCTAGCAGGCAGAATGTGTGTGCATGCATATGTAAGTGCTGTGGAAGTTTGTGATACAGCCACATCCAGATTTTTCAAGAGAAAATTGAATTTGAGTCCCAAGCAGATGCATATTTTAGTTTACCAATGCAAAATTTTAGTAAATTATGATACAAGGACACCTAGGAAATTCTAGTCTTACATATAGATTGTGCTTGAAATTATGTGCTGGCTTTCCATAAGAATGGGGATTGACCCAAATATTCTCTGTCATTGAATTTCCAAGTTTTCTGAAATTCTTTTTGTTTGTTTGCCTTGACCAGTTAGAAAGCACACATGAAAATACTATTGATCTCTATTTTAAAAATAACTGCTCCAGAATAATGGCTAAAATTTGCCAAATACACAGTATATGCTGAATGCATAATCAGAGATGTGTAGTAGGTCATTTGAACCTGATCTACTTTGTCCTTTGAAACCAGTGTGTTTAACTATGCACAATTACTGTGCTATACTGATATGTAACACAATATGTTTCTAGTTCTATTATCTCCATTGCCTTACTTCATAATATTCTTATATCTTCTTATTTTTCCCTTTTCTCTGACATCATTGTAGCTATGATGTGTTTGCTAAAATGAGAATACAATCAGATGACATCTCAGACTTTGTAATGTTTCTTAGGATAATAATTCTGTCCTTAATAAGATTGCAGAGGTTCTTTAGAATTGATGCTTATATCTCCAGGCTTATCACAGATATTTTGCTATGGTTACACATTAGGCCTATACAGGAACAACTAATTATCACTGTACATGGGGTAAAAATGTTCTTTTTCCTGAAAGTATCTCCTGGCTCCTCACTTTTCCCTTAAACTTGCTTACTCTTTTTCTCAAAAGTCTACCAAAACCTCAGTGTCAGTTTCAGGCTCATTTACCTGAAATTTCATTCTCTAAACTGGACTAGGGAACCTACCAAGAAAGAACTACCATCCTGAAGGACATGAGAGGATTAATCAAGTCCTTCTCATTGGTTGACCAACTTAATGAAATCTTCTTCAAGAAGAATATTGCAGTCCTTTTTATTATATAATCTAGACCACAGTGGTTTAATTTGAAAATGTCATTTATGAGTCGGTGGGATGTAAGGGACAACCTACATGTTCTGACTACCTATATGCTCTAAAATGAAGCTCAGAGGTTTTAAACATATTAGAAAGCAATCTTGGAAGGAATGAGTAGATTTATTTGAAACAAAACTGGCATCATCAATTATAGTACAAAGTAGTCAATATAGACTAAAACAAAGATTGCCACCTCTGTAACTGTAGCATTATTTCCTTAACTCTTTCACCCTGCCAGCACCACCGCAGTCGGCTTAGACAAGGGTCTAGTGTACAGCTGAATAGCATGACGCTGAGGAGCTGCATTCCAATTGGGAAGGAAGCGCCCCATCTTCTGGACTAAATGGCTTTCGTTAGAAGCCACAATACAAACCTCATGGAGATCCATGTCAGGAATGAAGAGATCATGCACACTAGAGCATGAGCTTGAAAAGTCTGAGTTTCTTTGTGACACGAGTGGGCAATTTAATCCTGAAGACCGTTAATTTTCAACCTTCTCATTAGGTACCTCTTCACATTGAAGCCAGTTTCAAGAACATTTTTCCTTCCACCTGGAAGCCCTCCACAGTTCTAGTGCAATAACTGCATAATTTTGTGACCTTTTTATTGAATAATAAAACAAATACATAAAGAGGAATGGTGATTTTATATTTGGTGTGATCAAAATAGGGCCAGAGTGAACAGGTCAGCCAACAGTTAAAGAGCTGACTCAGTTCAATATTGGCAAAGAAATCCAAAGTGG